GTTCTGTAAAAGAATAATCGACTTTGACGTCAATGATATCGGGCCCAATTGTATGAGGGTCAGGGGTCAGGTCATCAGAGTTCAAACCAGGATCAAACATGTCAAATGGTTAAGTGTTACTGAATTTATGGCACATCCACATGCGAAAAACGCCTCATTATTTTCACTGGGGCGTAACGACGAACCCAGCTGAGGCTGTATGACGTCGCCTGCTCTTCACCCTGACAAAATGGCGGGCACCGCGAGGAATCGAAGTCGTGCCGCTGATTTCCCCACGTGTGCAGCCTATCCCTGCACCATCGACACCACAACAAAAGTGAGTGTTACGAACCACCGCATGAACACTATCTTAACAAACATCGTGTGACCAGTTGCACTCAGTTTCTTGAGTCAATGACACACTGGATCCACAGAAATGTAAAACAAGTACCGATCGGCACAGCTTGCGCCCTTATTGGTGCAAAAGTGCCACATTAGTGATTGTTTATTTTCCGACTGGTTTTGCTTATGGGTACTTGCATAGAACGAGACACCGACAAGTTATGGTTTTCTTCATGGGGCGTAAAGCGGAGAAAGGATGAAATCCATCCGTAGCTTATTTTGGGTAGGGTCAGCCATTTCTCTGCCTCAGCCCCCCCCCCCCCCCCCAACTTATTCTGCGCATTGCATCCCTGAGCACGGATCTTTCGGAAGCCTAGTATGAGGTCACGACCTCGAATTATCAGTGTGACTACAGGCAGCATCTGAGCTTCTCTTCCAAAAGCCGTGGCTGCAGTTGCGACTTATGTCAATAACATCTTGACAGCGATTGCTCAAGCCTTGCCCTTCTGTACACCTGTTAAAGTGTTCAATGCATAGTCCCAAATCTTGCCCAAGACAACTTGTCACATCGGTATTGCTCCCCGTTATCCTCCTTGCCCAACATGGCAGCTGCCGCTAGTGTGGGACTATACATGACGCACTGCGATGAGCATTTCAGTTGCAGTGATGTACCCGTGACCTGAGAGGTCACCAAGCCGACATCAAGAAAAACCGGACACGTCCACAACCGGAAGACAGCAAGGAACATGTTGGTCCTCATGTTATTATTTTCTGTTCGCATGATTTGAAGTTATACCGGTGAGATTACCTTGCCCCATTTCGAATGTCTAGTTCAAGGTCATTACCTTGACCTGGAAGACTTCTGATAAGCCTAGAGCAAATAGGCCAGTCCCTCTCTCTATTTCTCTCACCTCTCTCCTCTCTCTCTCTCTCTCTCTCTCCTCTCTCTCTCTCTCTCTCTCTCTCTCTATCTCTCTCTCTCTCTCTCTCATCTCTCTCCATCTCTCTCTCTCTCTCTCTCTCTCTCTCTCTCTCTCTCTCTCTCTCTCTATCTCTCTCTTCTCTCTCTCTCTCTCTACTCTCTCTCTCTCTCTCTCTCTCTCTCTCTTCTCTCCTATCTCTCTCTCTCTCTCCTCTCTCTCTCCTCTCTCTCTCTCTCTCTCCTCATGTTCTGCCCCTGCGTGTTCGCCAACACTGCGGGGACATTGCGTCGCTCTCAGCGCGTCAGAAAACCGAGCCTCACACCAAGGAGCTTCACATCCCTCAGATATTCCCAGAGCGCCGTCGACAATTGAGGGAGCAGGGCGGCATAGACACTACATCCGCTTTTCGCGGACAATCTCATCACCCCCTTATCACCGGCCTTTCATGTTGGATAATACAGATGCTGTAGTAGTCAGATGCTGCTAGTCCTACTCAAACAGTCGCATTGGGGGGGGGGGGGGGGGGGAGAATTCGATGTGTTCATTGAGATCCCAAGCTATCGCGCACAATCTCTTTCGTGGAGGTTCTCCATGTATCACAGACACTCGGTTTGGTAAGTTTGACCAGCCTTCCTGGAATATTTAACCGTCAACACTCAACAGGCATTCGTGCACAAATAAATGCATGTTATGATTTGCTAACGCGGTGGAGGGGGGGGGGGAGGGGGGCACGAGCCACTGGAGCCCATACGTGTGAGGGCCCATGGGTGCTGTAGTACATAACTAACATTGCCTGTGCCGACTGGACCATTGGGATACTCGAACAGCGCGCTGACGGCAAGCTGGGGTTTCAGAAACAAAATGGAAAGTTCATTATCCTGCCGCCTGCAACTTTTAGTTGAAAAAGTAATTCAGTTAAAACGAATTTTAATTTCAAGTTTTAATCAAAGCATCAGCGTGTGTAGCTGGGAATAGAATCTGCCTGGCATATGGGCTGAGAGGACCCTGCACACAAATGGACGCAGCAGCGTACACACTGCTAGAACAACTGGCAGACAGACCCGAAGTAACGGGGTTGAGCACAACAAATACCAATCTCAAAATACAGATTTTGGTACCGGCTACAGACAACGCGAACGTTAAGATCTTGGTATAGCTGCGCATCTGCAATCTTCGTACGAGGGTGAACGCATAAACGCCATGATGTGACAAGGCTCGAACGGCACAGTTTTGGTAACGCACGCTTAGAAAAAAGTGCAATATTCGTTGGCATGAACACCAATGCCCGCTGGCAATTTTTTTGACCTTCATGCTTAGTGCGTGTCATCGAAACCTTTCGGCTTAGCCGTCTGTGTTTTGGACACCCGCAATGTTCGTGGTGCGTGGTGTTCGTGGTAAATAACTTCCTAACCTACTGCTCGGTACTGGTCTTCGTAACCTTCCGGCTTATCCTATTTCCTGCAGTGCTTAGTTCACAGCTGTGTATTGAGCGTTACGATGAATAAGCCCGAATAGCTACTCCGACAGTTTTTTTTTTTGCAACGTTGCCGTAGCAAAAGTGCACGCCTTTTTTAACTTTTTTGTGCTCGATTTCGCTTGACCGTATGCACTTGTGGTCAAAAGCGTAGGTTTGAAATACCATCTATTAACAACGCAACCAATATTTGCTCGATATCGTCGCTTAACCGGCACCTCCTGGCGCAACAAAGATCGGAAATTGCCAGCAAGGGTTAATGAGCTCAGAATTCCTACACAATATTCGTGCCTTTTGCCACCATGAAGTATCAACGTTGCATATACTTGCAAGCATTGTTTTATTATTTCTTTCTGCAACATTTTGCAAATGTGATGATTGAAAAAAACCCTCATTTCACAGCAAACTTTTGGTTGAAACTTGACGACACAAGACACTTTGTACGTGGTGGTGTTCCAATTCGTTCATGGCTTCCTCTTCTCCGCCATTTACCAGTCGTCTTACTCCACACAGGCTTATATTGCAAACGGTCCACGGGAGTTTGGCTGCACAGGTTTGACGGCCTACACCACGGACCCGTCGCATCGCAGATGACGTGTTTCAGCGCAGAGTGCAACACGGGGAGCACGGGTCTCGCTGATCCCACTGTTAGTCGACGTTGAGCGAGTCACATATGAGCTGTGAGTCCGTCCGGGACTGCCACCTGTGCCCAACCATCACTGAGACCGCCACCTGTGCCTAACCGTCACTGGAACCGCCACCCGTGCCCAACCGTCACTGGGACCGCCATCCGTGCCTAGCCGTCACTGGGACCGCCACCCGTGCCCAACCGTCACTGGGACCGCCACCCGTGCCTAGCCGTCACTGGGACCGCCACCCGTGCCCAACCGTCACTGGCCCGCGTCCGGTCGGCACGCGGCATGGCACAAGATAGCGCTTGGTGTTTGCTTCCCGGCCCGCCACCGCCCGCTTCCAGTGTAACCCGAGCGGCGGCAGGCCCCACCGACCACCAGCGCGTCAGGGACCCGGCGGAATAGCAGCTGCCACCTCCATAGAGGACGCTCGGGTACCAAGCGGGCCGACAGCTGCCACCTCTACAGAGGACATTGTCGGGCAGTCCGGCAGCTGCGGCCGAACCCCAGACGCCAGCCAGCCCCGACACCACCTCGAGCGGACTCCCCGGCCCGGGCAGTACACACACGCTCACGGGCAGGGGAGCCGCCGGGCGACCGCCGCCGACCGCTAGGTGAGGCATGACCAGCACCGCACCGAGACACCAGTCACCAAACCCCGTCCGCGGCCCACACCCCGTCCCGCGACCAGACGTCAGAAGACAGCCAGCCGGTCTCCGCCCCCCTGTACAGATCAGTACGAGACGCGCATGACACCACCGGTACCTAGTAAAGGTTTGGCGGCTCCCAAAGAGATTATATACACCAGCCCGGAAAATAATAGCCGTCGTTAGACGGCATCTACAGAAACAAATCACTGCATGCAGACTAAGGGCAGATACACAGCAGTAAAAGCTCCGCCAAAGTTAGTCTGCTCGCATAAACCATCGTCCTTGTTGCAACTCCCAGAAACCAAGCCAGCAACACCAACAAAACGCCACGCTTTGTAAGCATACCTATAAACGCATTAAAACACCCTGCGCCGGCAGTTCAACGCCCGTCACAGCCCAGAACTGAGACTCTAGTAAAATCGCATGAGAAGCATAACACAAACCGAAAGTGTTACGTTCCAAAAGATCATGTTCGCGATCGGCAGTGACGCACTAGCGCCGTATCGCCGCAGCGACTGGCGGTGGGAGCGCACCGGAGGGCCGGGAGACGCCACGGGTCTACCCCACAGACCGGCCGGCCGTCGCCCTCCCCCGCCCGAGTGGCGCGGCGCGGCTCGGCTCGACTCGGCGGGGCAGACCCGGGGGCGCAGCGCAGGACCCGCCGCACTCGACGAACGGTCCGCAGTAGCACCGTCCACACAATTATTTGGTTCAGAGTACAGTAAGGCTCGGCGGCAATGCGGGTACAAAGTCCGGTGTCTAGATGTCACCATTCCGCCGACAGTAACAACGTGCGTTATTCCCGACCAACTAGCACCACAGCATGATCCTTGATGATTCAGACGATTGACATTTGTGTTCAGTGGATACAAGGGCCACTCGTTACGTACATCGGTGCTTCGACCGCCACGGACATCGGAGCGGCGAACATTTCAAAACAGCCCAGCAGCCGATTGAACCGTTGGAAGCACTTGCGACCCGTACTCCACGGCCTGGACACCGCTCGTCGCTGAGCACCCATGGAGGTGCCGCGTCCGCCTTCCCCTCGCCTCGATACACCCTCAATCTTTCCCGTAACACCCTGGGAGCCGGGCGCAGCTCCCCAGCACAGCAGCAGACACCAGGGAGACGTCTCGTTGTGACCTAAGCAGTCCGGGGGAGGGGAGGGATCCCGCCCAGCCCCGGCTGCGGTGGCAGCGCCGCCCCATGGGCAGGCGATTAGTACTCGAACGTGATGGTCTTGGTCTTGAGATATTCCTGGAGAGCCTCCTCGCCTGTGGGAGGGGGCGGAGCGATGTCATCTCATGCGCAGGAACTATCCGCGGTGTCAAGAGTTACAAGTGACGACTCAAACGCTCGATGGGCCGTCTGTGATGGACCAACTCCAGCCACCGCGCCGATCAACCGACAGAGTGAACTTCAGTCACTTCGGAGACGAACATCAAGTATAGCACATCCACAAGTCATTCACGACAGACAAGCCACACACCAGGCAGAACATACACTGAACATACCGACCGCCACACGTAACGTCCGACGCGGGACAGCTCCTACACATCCAACCCTGCGAAAGGCGCCTGAGCTTGCGCCGTGCGAGCCGCGCCTGTCGCCAGCCGGCTACCGCTCACCGAGGTCCTTGCCGAAGCCGGACTGCTTGAAGCCGCCGAAGGGGGCGGCCACGTCCGTCTTGTTGTAGGTGTTGACGAAGCAGGTGCCGGCGTCCAGCCGGTCCGACACGTACAGCGCCTTGTTGATGTCCCGCGTGAAGACACCGGACGCCAGGCCGTACTCGGTATCATTAGCCCGACGCACCACACCCTCCACGTCCCTGTGGGAGGGGGGGGGGACAACTCAGACACAGCCAGGGGCGGTTCCTCAGGCCAGGTCCTGCCGGATCGCGTCAGATTAGAATAGATCAGAAGCACGGTCACACGGCTTCCCAGGTCAGATTAGGTCACGCACGGCCAGACCGTTCCCGAGGCCCCGTCAGGTCAGGTCAGGTCATTTCAGGTCATGTCAGGTCAGGTCGGGCAAGGTGCGCTGACGGCAACACTGAGATTCAGTGGGCCTCCGGTAACTGTGTCCCCCGCCCAACTTCGTCACCGGTCGCTGACCTTTGTGCAACAGCTACCGTCGGCACACGCGATGACACTACGAACAGCTGAGAACGCCACCGACACTGACGCTTGCAACCAAGCACCGGTGGCGACGCCACACGACAGCCTATAGGCAACAGATGACGGCGGAACGACCTTTACACTATACACGCCAAACTTGGCATCCTTCCCACCCAAACACGTCCTGTGTGAGACAAACAAGCGGGATCAAGTGGTGGGCGTTTGCGTAAGTGCGGCCCGATCGACTGACGTCAGGAGGCGGCCGGCAGCTGCGGGCGAGCTAAGGCCGACAGCGCGGGGGCGGCGCCCCGAGAGCGGGGCGGCACTCCACCCACGCAGCCCACGTCACGACAGTCCGACACACGCACGACAGCACAGCCAGCCTACTCACGTCACCACGGCACCGACGTCCCCACAACGGCACAGCCGGGTCAGACGTCTGCGCGCGCGCCTCGCTCTCCTTCCTCCCACCCCTTCGTTCCATCCCTCTAGTCCCTCACGTATCTGTAGCAGCTTGGCAGATTACATTTGATGACTTGATCTACACTTGTTGGTCAGATTGCGGCTTATCTAGCCCTTTTCCATTCCCCTCAGAAAGTTGCAAAAAAGAACAAACAAACACACAGAATCCTACCCGAACACAAGCACACCACACTCGGATGCGAGGGGGCACACATGCAAGACATTGCGACCAAAACCGACCGTGCTGACTTACCCCTCAGCGAACTTGGAGAGGACCATGATGGGGCCAAAGGACTCCTCCTTGGCCACGAACATGTGGTCCTCGACGTCGGCCAAGACGGTGGGTTCCATGTACAGGCCGGGCCTGTCCACCTGCTTACCTCCGACCACCAGCCGGGCACCTGTCGGATGGGGAGGGGTCACGACAGGTCACCACAGTCAACGCAGAGCACAAGATACAGCCAGTGACACACGGTCACCGTAGAGCACAAGATACAGCCGGTGACACACGGTCAACGCAGAGCACATGATACAGCCGGTAACAACGGCCTCTCCGGATCACCGCGGGGACGGCGGCGGTGACCGCCGACCCCGCAGGTGACCTCGTCACCGCCGGCCTCGGCGCTCTCACGTCACGTACCCTCGGCCACGCCCGTCTGCACGTACTCCAGCAGCTTGTCGAGGTGGGCGCGGTGGTTCTGCGGCCCATGCTGCGTGGACCGGTCCAGCGGGTCGCCGATGGTCTGCCGGCGAGAACACGGCCGTCAGCCGGACTGGTACCAGACGATACACGGCCAGCGGACGGCGCGACGACGTCATTAGCAAGCCGGCGGGTGGCGGCAGGTGGGGCGAACTGCAAGTGACCGGTTATAAGACGCACGGCGGCACAGCTGGTCAGATGGTCAGACACCATCAGCAGCAGCAGGTCAGGTGGTCACGTGAGGCGGGAAGCAGACGACCGGGTGGTCGGACGCACGGAGCGCAGATGGTCAGGTACTCAGATGTCGTCAACGGCAGGTCAGGTGGCCACGTGACATGGGAAGCAGAGAAACAAAACCAGGTGGCAAAGGCAGCAAGCGGTAAGATAACGAAAGGACGGAACGAGAAGAGCACATGACTTCATACACAAAGCGACGGCCATGCAGCAAAGGGGACCGAGCTCGCAAATCAGAAGGTACGTTGGGAATGGTCCGATTGGGTTATTTTTTTTGGAAAAAAATTGGGGAACATCACCAGCAAACCGAGAAGCACAAACATAACGTTTTTATATCCCATCTCACTTTGTCGAGTGGAAGAACAAAGTTTGCTACTATGAAGACCAGAAGCGCCACTCAAACATGCCGTGATTTAAGCGTCTCGAATGTCTAATGCTCACTGTATTAATCTATGCCGTTTTAGGTCCCGTCCTGAATTCGCTCCCAATTGATGCTGTGAGTCTGTAATGACCAAAATGCGTTACGTGTTATCTTTTCTAGGCAGAGAGCAGCCCAGTGAGACCGCACTGTATGAGAGGCCGGGCACCGTGGGCGCGGCTTCAAGAGGACCAATGGGACCTGAGGCGACGCCAGCAGTGACGCGTTATTCAGGACAGGCTGGCCAAGGCAGAGCTGGGACGGGCCGGATCACTCGACACGTCGCCTGGGCGCACGGGCCGCGTGGCGCGCCATGACCCCGCCACAGCCGGCCGCCGCACCGGCGGGCGCGCGCTGACTAGGCCCGCCGATGTGTGCCGCGGGGGCGTCACAGGTACTCAGATGGTCGACGAACGAACGTGAGGCGGCTCGCATTTCAGGTGCGGAGGCACGCGGCAGCGCCCCTCCCCCTTTCCTCCCGTCCGCGTAGGTCGGACGGGCATGGGCAGCGGGCGCACGCACGTCAGGTGTCCAGTGTTTACTACAATAGTCAGGACTTCAACCCGCTTTGGTATGCCTACAGCAGCACCACCGGGCTCTGTTTCGGAGCCCCCAGCCCGCCTGCGCGCCAGGGCTGACGCGGAGAGTCGCAGCTCACCGACTGGCGCGTGCGACGGGCACGCGTGTACACTCCAAGCACTGCCAGTGTCAACTTCAATATCGCACTGGGTCAAGTGGAAGTGAATTCAGCTGTATCCCGAGAGGTAATCACCAAACCACAGCGTTGCCAACGCAACGGAACGCGTTCAGAAACGGCAAAAAATGACAAGGCGCAGCTAGGACACCATGGCACCACAGGTAATGTGTTTAAGAACAATGCCTGGCGAAAGCCAAGGGACACATTTTATTTAGGTCCACTCGCCGCACTAAACTGCACCCTCCCGTCATCATCGGCGCAGGAGACGGCCGCCTCTATCCGACAGCAGGGAGCTGCTACATCAGAGCTGCGAAGGGGCAGATCCAGCACGCAGCTCCGTCGTGAGCCTAAACACCGCTCCGACCTCCAAGCAGCGCCGATAACCGTTATGTGGAGCCAGCCTTACCGCGTATTGATGACGTCATGTTAAAGTACGACGATCAAAGCTGGATCAGCACTAAGCGTGTCCGTGCCGAGTCCCCGACCGTGATTTCCCAGGCAGTGCGCCGCTACGCTCAGTGGCCCCTCAGCTAGTGCCGTACAGGTCCTGTCCCAGAAGGGGACGGGTGCATCTCGCTCACCATTTTCCCGATCTCCTCGATAATGCGGCGCAGGTACTCGTCGTAGATGGACTCCTCGACGAACAGGCGGCCCGCGGCGATGCAGTTCTCGCCCTTGTTGAAGAACACACTGCTCATGCCCTGCGAACCGTGGACAGAGCCGCCGTCAACGATGAGCGCGGCACGCTGCCGATTGCAAAACGACTGTCGTGGTGCCGGGGACAACAGCCACTCATCTACCGTGCGCGCATCGGTTAGCATAGCGGCATTGCGACCAGGCGATGCCAGGGACGCTCGTCACCAACGTGTTGCAAGATGCGGGCCTGCGTAACTTTCAGTTGGCGATAAGGGACCGCCTGCCTGCTGTTTCCACATCTGGCAGCCCTGCAACTGACGTCACACGTGCACACTCCATCCCTGACACACACACATGCACACTCCTTCCCTGCGGGGCCCGGCACACACAGCTGCTGTCGCTGTCTGCCGAAATAAAACGACAGTCGTCTTGCAATCAATTCTGGCGTTCACAGGTGGCCACCGTCGCCCGGCGCGCCACGCGGCCGTTTTGGCGAACATCCGTCAGGGCACCGCGAAGGTGTTGGCCAAGACCCGTGAACGCAATCAACGCCATTCCACTGGAACGTTCCAACACGCTCCGCAGGTCCCAAACGAACCGAACTCCCACCACGGCAGCCGCACCGCTCACAAACGCGTGGCACCCTCCAGCAGCCTCTCAACATGATGTCCAGACAGCAGAAACGCATTCAAATACAGCTAGGATCCCGCCCACTGATCGGCGATCAGGGCAGCCCCGGCTTCCGATCGGCGCCAAGCCGCGCAACCCACCATGCGGACGGCCTTGTCCAGGTCGGCGTCGGCGAAGATGACCAGCGGTGACTTGCCACCCAGTTCGAGCGAGGCCTTCTTCAGGTTGGACTCGGCGCACGACTTCATGATGACCTTGCCAATCTCGGTGGAGCCGGTGAAGCCCAGTTTGCGCACCAGCGGGTGGTCGGCGATCGCCTGGCCGCACTCGCCGCCTGTGGAGGAGCATCCCTCAGCTCACTCAGAGGAGAGGCCCCTCAGCTCACTCAGAGGAGAGGCCCCTCAGCTCACCCAGAGGACAGGCCCCTCAGCTCACTCAGAGGAGAGGCCCCTCAGCTCACCCAGAGGAGAGGCCCCTCAGCTCACCCGGAGGATCGGCCCCTCACCTTACTCAGAGGAGAGGCCCCTCAGCTCACCCGGAGGATCGGCCCCTCACCTTACCCAGAGGAGAGGGCCCTCAGCCCACCCAGAGGAGCAGCCCCTCAGCTCACCCGGAGGATCGGCTCCTCACCTTACCCAGAGGAGAGGCCCCCCAGCTCACCCAGAGGAGCAGCCCCTCAGCTCACCCGGAGGATCGGCTCCTCACCTTACCCAGAGGAGAGGCCCCTCAGCTCACCCAGAGGAGAGGCCCCTCAGCTCACCCGGAGGATCGGCCCCTCACCTTACTCAGAGGAGAGGCCCCTCAGCTCATCCGGAGGATCGGCCCCTCACCTTACCCAGAGGAGAGGGCCCTCAGCTCACCCAGAGGAGCAGCCCCTCAGCTCACCCGGAGGATCGGCTCCTCACCTTACCCAGAGGAGAGGCCCCTCAGCTCACCCAGAGGAGCAGCCCCTCAGCTCACCCAGAGGAGCAGCCCCTCGCCTCACCCAGAGGAGCGACTCTTCAGCGCACCCAGAAGAACAGCCCCTCGGCTCACCCAGAGGAGCGGCCCCTCAGCTCACCCAGAGGAGCGGCCCCTCAGCTCACCCAGAGAAGCGGCCCCTCAGCCCAGCCGGCCACAGACCGTGTCGGTACCGGCCCAGCTATCCAGCAGCCTGTATCGCCGACTGGCATTGCCACTGGATCAACACACGGCAGCAACGGACCCCGGCCCTGCGCTTAGCTGGGCGCCCTGTTGGCGTCCCGACCCTGACCTCGCCCAAAAGGGACCCCGCCTCTATCCACACAGTCAAGCCCGCTCTCTGCTGCCTGGGTTGACCTATTGGGCTTCGAGACGGTGAGGCTCTAAAACGTTCTTAAGGACTGCTATTTAGCGGGCAGAGAATTAAAGTGCGCGTTCCCCTCCGGGATCAGACGTCCCGGATATTTTCTGATCACAACAACCAAGATTGTAAACTCCAACCAGCAATGTCCATTGCCAAGAGCCGACCGTGAATATTGTCTGGGAAGCTGTGTTATCCTGAGCCCGCCAGTCTAGCCGGCCAGGGTAACCACATCCCCCAGCGGGCCACTCCAGCCACGGCTACAACCCCACCGTCCTGACCACGTCCCTCAGCCGGCCACCCCAGCGCCAGCGACCTAACCCGCCGTCCTGACCACGTCCCCCAGCCGGCCACCCCAGCGCCAGCGACCTTACCCGCCGTTCTGACCACGTCCCCCAGCCGGCCACCCCAGCGCCAGCTACCTAACCCGCCGTCCTGAACACGTGCCTCCAGCGGGCCATCCCAGCCCCGGCTACATAACCCCGCTGTCCTGACCGGTGTCTGGGGCCTGACCACGTCCCCCAGCGGGCCACCCCAGCCCCAGCCACATCACTCCGCCCTCCTGACCGGTGTCCCGGGCTGACCACGTCCCCCAGCGGGCCACCCCAGCCCCAGCCACATCACTCCGCCCTCCTGACCGGTGTCCCGGGCTGACCACGTCCCCCAGCGGGCCACCCCAGCCCCAGCCATATCACTCCGCCCTCCTGACCGGTGTCCCGGGCTGACCACGTCCCCCAGCGGGCCACTCCAGTCGCGGCCACATCACTCCGCCTTCCTCACCGGTGTCCGGGGCTGATCACGTCCCCGAGCGGGCCACCCCAGTCCCAGCCACATCACTCCGCCTTCCTGACCGGTGTCCCGAGCCTCACCACGTCCCCGAGCGGGCCACCCCAGTCCAGGCCACATCACTCCGCCCTCCTGACCGGTGTCCGGGGCCGGTCGGCCCGACCAGCTCACCTGAGCCGGGCACAACGTTGATGACGCCGGGCGGAAAGCCGGCGTGGACGGCCAGCTCCGCGAACTTGAGCGCCGTCAGTGGCGACACCTGGGCCGGCTTGATCACCACCGTGTTGCCGGCCGCCAGGCAGGCGGCCATCTTCCAGGACAGCATCATCAGTGGGTAGTTCCACGGCGTCACTAGACCGCACACGCTGCCGGCAACGAGCGAGACGTGTGGGCTCAGGGTCCGACCCAACGACACACGGCCAGTCTGACCACATGCAGCGTCCGCCGCCGACGCCATCGACGCCTCGTCCGCTCGGTTCGCGTTTGGTGACGTCTCAGTGTCGGTGCCTCAGTCCATCCGCCCGCGTTTGTCACACGTCACGCGTCACGCGTCTGCGTGCCTCACCCGATCGGCTCGCGCTTGGTGATGGTGAGGTTGTGGTTGGGCCGGGCGTTGTTGATGGGGATGGTCTTGCCCTGGATCTTGTCGCACCAGCCGGCGAAGTAGCGCCACGTGTCGATCGACATGCCCACGTGCGTCTTGAGCGCCAGCGTGTAGACGGCGCCCGAGTCGATCGTCTCGATGGTGGCCAGCTCCTCCTTGTGCTGGTCCATGAGGTCGGCCAGTCTGCGGCGCGGGGGAGGCGCGTCACAGCCGGGTCGGGGATGGCGGACTCACGGCCGCCGCCGCCAGAGACACGCGCGCAGCAGAGCGGTGCCGCTGCCCTGGCATGGGAATAAGCCTGGTCACAGAGACACGTGTAGTACGTGCAGCTGTTGGCACATGGGCTGTTTGGAGCCGGCAGCAGGGCAGCAAAAACCCATGTTGATGGCGTCTTACAATCGGTAACCAGTTAACAAAACTGCGTCACAACCCATGGCGCGATATTATACACCGGACTCGAGGACTGTGCCTGCAGCATGCTGCGGTAACTCTCTTAGCTGCCTGGGTTAGACTATCTAGGACGTTTAATGCCAGCTGATACAATCACGTCGCTCTCATTTTATTGTTTACTTTTTGCGGGCTATGCTCCACACTGGAAATCAATATCTTGAGCGAAGCTTAGTAAAGCGCAACAGATGAGAAGCAACGCCCACGTGCAAAGAAACGTGGTTGCGCGTGTTAGCATAACGCAAACATTAGCGCATGCGTGTCCACACGTCCACACAACTTAGTTGCGATCAACACATGTAAGTCATTGAAACACATCGCTAATTGGAACGCTAACGCAGAACAGATCGTATGGTCCACCGGCCTGTATGCAGTCCCTTGGGACGTGGGGTGTAACGATGCCCGACCTATAGATCTACGTCTGTCAACGCCACCTACTTGTACATGAGCGCGCCCCGGTCACGAGCGTTCATCTTGCCCCATTCGCCCTCGGTGAACGCCACGTGAGCCGCCTTCACAGCGCGGTCCACGTCCGCCGGAGACGACCGCGCCACCTGTTGAACCAAATGAAAAGCTGAGATTGTCCCGGTCTCCGATGCTACTGCTCAGGCGCCTTGACAACACGCACGGCAAATCAACGCAGCTGGATGCAGGTATCCGTTACGAGCCGTTTGGAAGTAGCGCCTGCCTTGTGGTGACTGCTCCACCAACTCAAGGCCGCGCTCTCCTCAATCCTATGAGCCCAAAACACATCGACATTCAGTGAACAGACTGCGACGCGACAACGGGAGGCCGGCGCATATAGCCAATATTTTTAAGGAGAGCGGTACGGTACCTATCACAGATCCCACGCACACCACGAACAGGCAACACCAGCGCGTCTCACCACACAACTCTGAGACCTGCCACACGGGCTAGGTCAACATGGTCCTGAGCATCCCCACTCTCTAGACATCTATAACCTAACATCCAAAAAAGCTCAACTCGCCACTACAATGTGCCCTGGACTGGAATACGTGCCCGCCACATCTGACCGCATTTATCCAGTCCCCGCCCTTTGGACCCTGCAGCAGCTCATCATCCAAAGCCCAAGGGGCTGCCCGGCCCAGCGGAGAGCCCAGTCGAGCCCGCCCCACGCGGCAGCCCCGGGGGCGCCCGGCCCAGCGGAGAGCCCAGTCGAGTCCGCCCCACACGGCAGCCCCGGGGGCGCCCGGCCCAGCGGAGAGCCCGGTCGAGTCCGCCCCACGCGGCAGCCCCGGGGGCGCCCGGCCCAGCGGAGAGCCCAGTCGAGCCCGCCCCACGCGGCAGCCCCGGGGGCGCCCGGCCCAGCGGAGAGCCCAGTCGAGCCCGCCCCACGCGGCAGCCCCGGGGGCGCCCGGCCCAGCGGAGAGCCCAGTCGAGTCCGCCCCACACGGCAGCCCCGGGGGCGCCCGGCCCAGCGGAGAGCCCGGTCGAGTCCGCCCCACGCGGCAGCCCCGGGGGCGCCCGGCCCAGCGGAGAGCCCAGTCGAGCCCGCCCCACGCGGCAGCCCCGGGGGCGCCCGGCCCAGCGGAGAGCCCAGTCGAGCCCGCCCCACGCGGCAGCCCCGGGGGCGCCCGGCCGAGCGGAGAGCCCAGTCGAGCCCGCCCCACGCGGCAGCCCCGGGGGCGCCCGGCCGCCCCCGGCGGCGCACGCCACTTACGTCGCAGATGGGCTTCTCGTCGGCCGGGTTGATGGACGTGATCTGACGGCCGGTGGTGCTCTCGGAGAACTCGTTATTGATGAACACCTGCGCGGACAGCGGATGGTCAGCTCGTGGCGCGGCGCAACCTGCGCGGCTCTCGTCGGCAGCCGCTCCATACATCAAACACAGCTCTGCAGAGTCGCGAAACACTTAAGGCGCGATCGTACGTGACATGCCACGTGCCTCAGACGCAATGGCATGCCAACCTATAAAAATAGTATGGCCCGCATTCCAAACGGACATACGGCACAACATGGCTGGTGATGGTGATCGGGGTTTAAGGGAGCGTCGGCTACGATGGTCAATTCGCGCCCACAGCTGTTAACTGGCTGACGCGGCGTGTAAATGGCTGACATTCCTGTAAGTTGCAAATGAAAACAATTGACCTGTAACAACCCGAAGAAAGTCGTTGTCAAGCGTATCAGAAAAGATAACAGATGGGAGCATTTTGACTAAAATGAAAAAGGCGCTCTTCGATAAACTCTAGACATGTGCAAATAGTGTTGCAAACGGTGGGTAGCGCATTACGAAAACAACATTGCCGGTCTCCACTACACAGCAGGTCGTCGTGAGCCGCATGCGTGTGGGTGATTCACATTCTGCGGTCAGTGCTCCTTGTCGTGCCTTGCGTGAACTCGACTACCATGGGCCTGTGTTTCCCTCATCTTACGCTCATTGCCTGTCATGCTATTCCAGCAGTGTTGCCATTTGTCTTTTACCCCGCTCGCTATGGCCCGGTGCGAGTCTCTGGCACGAAGGGGCAGGCGGTGTCAACGTGATGCACAGGCCGCTCTCTCTTGCATCTGTATCCGCGGGCCCGTTACTAGCGACACCAGCATGGCTTGGCATCCAACGGAGCACCACCACCTTACCGACGCGATCCGGCATCTTTAGCCGAGCTAAAATATCCTGTGTAAGAGGACATAAAGACGGGGTAAGAGGACGCGTTAAAAGCTTTTAAAGCCAGAGAGCTGCTCAACGAATCCACAGAGTCCATTGCAAATGCTGTCACCAACTTCAATAAAAGAGAGCGTTTTCAGGTTGGTGACAAACTCAGGAAGTGTAAACTGAGGCGTGTTTCGGTAACGAAAAGGACCGCGTAGTGTATCACATACAAGTGCAGATACAGCGCCCACTTCCGTCTTGGAGCCATCTGTGCAAGTACGCTGAAACTCTGCGTACGATGCGATACGCCGCAAGGCCCTGGACCTACGAGCGTTTACCAGCACATCCGTTTTTCTGACCGCTGACATAAATATGTTCACTTTTAGAGTTACTAGCTACCAGGGCGGTGTGTATCATTGGGGCTTTACGACGCACTCAGCTGCTGAGGCTATATGGCGTCGACTGTCTCTCACCCTGTCAGGAAGGGCGGGCACCGCAGGGAATCGAACCCCGTACCCCTGGTTTCCCAGACACGTAGTGATTAACGCAGATGCGTTAACTACATCACCGGCACCCCGCTACCAGGGCGGTGTCAATAAGTGATTTGGTTTCGATGCACCCCGCACACTAAAGCCACTCGGTCGAAATCGCTTCTTAATAATGACGGCGTGTACGACCCCTGTCCACCGTGAGGCAATGTTTCAATGGACATGGAAAAAGTAACGATCGGAGCTCCAGCTCATTCACATTCACACTCATAGGCGCTACCTCAAAGTCCGTGACAAGGGCTTCACCCCTGACAACCTTGAACCCTTGACCTTTGAACATTGACAATCATGATGCATATATAGTGACCTGATGGGGGAAGGAAATATCCATGTTGTTGACGTGCATCTTGATGGCGTCGTAAGTGAACTCTGGTTTAAGGCTGCCGCCGCGAGACACGAAGACCACCGTCTGGACAAAGTCGTCGAACTTGGAGGCCATGAACACGTCCTCGTTCTGCAGCTCAATCCCACTCCTCTGCTTCACATCTTCCAGCAGCCTGCAACACGCAAAGCACCAGAAATCATGACCCAATCCCTAGTTTTTCCGGCTGCAACCCACCAGCACTGCAGCCGGACAGGCAAACCAACAACGAAGATAAGCGAAATATCGTCGGCACAACTTTACGTCACCGAATCGCCTACCTGACAACGTCCATGCTGCCGGCGCCGGCGGCGAAGAAGTCGGTCTCGTCAGCCACCTCGATCTTAAGGATGTCGGCCCAGGTGCGCCGGAGCGCGTCCGAGAGGGCCTGCTCCTCGGCGGTCAGCTCCAACCGCTCACGCGCCTCCTCCGCCTGGCCGTACCGGGCCGCCTGCACCATCTTGCCTGCCACAGAGAGCCGCGCCACCGACACCTGCCGGCAGGTCGCAGAAGCTCACGCTCGCCGCACTGCGCAAACGTCCGAAGAAAACACCGTATTGTTCAGACACAAGCCACACGGTGCAGCCATCTGCAGATACCACCACATGGCTCACACACCACGGTACGAGCCGCACGGTACAGCCATCTGCGCATGCCCCCACATGGCTCAGACACCACGGTACCAGCCGCACGGTACGGCCATCTGCAGAAACCATTGCGTGACTCATACACAAGCCGCACAGTACAGCCATCCGCAATAATCGCCGCGCTGCTCACACATCTCACTTATCACTGATGGCTGCCGGCCCCACCTCAGCACCCTCACGCATCTCACACGGCTGACGCGCGTCGCACGTGGCCGACACGCATCTGACAAGGCTGACACGCGTCTCACGCGGCTGACACGCATCTGACACAGCTACCACGCATCTCACACGGCTGACATGCATCTCACACGGCTGACATGCATCTCAAACGGCTGACACGCATTTCACACAGCTACCACGCATCTCACACGGCTGACACGCATCTCACACGGCTGAGACACGTCTCACGCGGCTGACACGCGTCTGACAAGGCTGACAAGCGCCCGTCGTGAGCGGGGCCAAATGGCTACATGCATTACCCCCGCGACACCGCCACACCGCCCGCGACCTCAGCCCCAGGCCACGCGGTCACGGCTGCGTCGCTGGGCGGCACGCACCATCTTTCCGTCGGATCCGGTGAGGATCAGGCCATGGGAGCAGATGACGCCCGGGCGGTCGCAGCCCTCGATGGCCACCTCGGTGCCGTCGGGCCGCGCGCCCGAGAACCGCTTCGATCCGTACAGCTTGGTCTCCTGCCCATCCATCACGATCCACGCACCTGTGAACCCACGCCGGTGATGTCTCCGTTCTCAGCCCCCCCCCCCCTTCGTCAACTAATCCTCTCAAAATTGCACAGCCTAACATGGTTTGCAACGCAATGAGTCAGAGATCAAAAAACAGAACTACGTGCATTTGGAAGGTAACAAAATGCTACATTCTCTTAGAGCAGACATAAGTTTAACAAACCGTATCTAAGCATTTGAGCGCGGTCCAGGCACACAGAGCTGAGGGAGATTGCGCGGATCCACCCCAAGGACAGACTCCGGCGACTAGCGGCCATGCAGGGAACACGAACACCCGGCTGACCTCCGTAGCGACCCAGCGTCTCGCTGGTCGGGCCACGGAGCCAGAGCGCCACCAAAGACGCTGCACCTATGTAGGCCGTCAAACTGACCGCAGGTCGACCGGCTGGGTCGGGCGCCGGCTCGGCCGAGCTGCCAAGCAGCCGGCGAGAGATGCCGGTGGGCACAGGCGGGCCCATCAGCGGCGGCGCCCACGCACCTGGCGAGAGCTGCCGACGGGCACCGGCCGGCCCGTCAGCGGCAGCGCCCACGCACCTGGCGAGAGCTGCCGACGGGCACCGGCCGGCCCGTCAGCGGCGGCGCCCAGGCACCTGGCGAGAGCTGCTGACGGGCACCGGCCGGCCCGTCAGCGGCGGCGCCCACGCACCTGGCCAGAGCTGCCGACGGGCACCGGCCGGCCCGTCAGCGGCGGCGCCCACGCACCTGGCGAGCTGTCCAGGCCGCGGATAAAGTTGTGGATCTCCTCGGCGGGCCGTTCCAGCTCCAGCCGCACCAGCTCCTTCTTGTTGAGGAATGGATCATAGGTGGCGCCCTCCTCTGGCTGCGTCTCGCGCGGCGCCGTGCCCGCCGACACGCGGTTCACCGCGTCCGCCTGACGAGCGCGGCGGGTCAGGCCGGTCAGGTCAGACGTCGGGTGAGGTCAGGCCAGGTCAGGTGAGGTCACATGTCAGGCCAAGTCAGGCCGCGTCACGTGGAGTGAACTGCCCGGATCGGATCATATACACCGGCTGGCCACGTCAGGTCACGGGGTCATGCATCGGCCTGGCCAGGCATCCGTTCCTCGACTCGATCAGGCCAGGTCCACTGCGCCGAAGGTCAGCTGTCTCACAACATGTGTACCATGGACAGTGCAGCTGCCGCGCCATTTCGACAGGCCGGAATTCACGCATTTTGTCGCAGTCCGCTGGGCGCGCCGAGGCATGGCGCGGCGCGGCACTCACCATGGCCTTGATACCCTCGGGGTACATGAACTTGTTGTAGAGCGTGTCGACGGTGTCGTCCGGGTCGACGTCGCAGGCCTTCTGCGACAGGATGGGGCCCGTGTCGAGGCCGTCATCCGCCCAGAAGATCGAGAAGCCGGCCTTCTTGTCGCCGCACATCAGAGTCCTGTGTCATCGGATCAGCCGTCAGAGTCCGGAGTCCGGAGCGCCACCGGCGACGGCGTCGACAGCGGACCGACGCACGCCGCAGACACATGACGTCACAACAGACGACAGGCGTGTGACATCGCGGGGCAGACGTCCGCGGGAGCTGAAGAGCCGGCAGCGCTGGGCGAACGACCTTGAGGGGCTGGGAGTGGCCAGGACGCTGGGATGGCGGCAATGGGCTTATGGACTGTAGTTGCCAGCTACGTTCATGCCAAATTCAGTAAGTTGTTGTACTGCTGCACTTGAAATCCTTACCTCATTCTTATAGCACGGCTCACTTTTACTCACTAATTTGTTTTCCTACCCACGTTGTTAGGATCTTTCTCAATTCCTTACTCCGCATTTTTTTTAGGAAAGGCACCTTGCTTCAGGCTCTGCGTTTTCCTACACCCTCCCGTAATTTGCTTACACACTCGCAGCATTCGTGAAGAGCAATGACATGGCGGCGCCCATTCAACACGAAACAATACGCTGAACGGAGGGACAATACACTGAACGGAGCAAGTAATGTAATTCCGAAACGTGTTCTTTCACTAATTATTCCCTCACTTGGTCTGTCTCAATGAGCTGACATATCGTGGCAATTGCTTTCTCATCCCACGACAGATGGTCCAAATACAATGCTGAAGCACCTCACTAAATGGGGCACAAGTGTCCTAGCATTTCACACAATACGTCAGCGATATCACAGTGACACCTCTTGGCTACGCGCAAACACAACATTTTATCAAACTGTCCCTAGTGGACGGTTTTTCTGATCTTTTTTCGTCGGCCATGAGCGTTCAAGGTGTCATAAAAACCGCCATCCTTGGCCGCTTTCTATCGCGCAGACGGGCAAAAACCTCCCCAACCAACGGCGGCGTCAGACAAAAACTGGAACCGTCTGCTACCCGACAATTCACCGCTTGTCCGGACCACCGCGGCGGCAGCAGCGTGTACACATGCAGCGAGGAACATCGGCAAAAACCGAAACATGCAGGCTCTGGTAATGGGACCAAACCCTGCCATTGTTGCGGTCAAGGTAAACACCCCTCACGGGCTTCAACGTTACGAGGCATCGGTTAACAAGTGAGCTTAACATTGAAGCTGAATTGTGCAATATTAAAAAGCAATGCAACAGAACACCAGCAAGCTTAACCTTGGTCACTGCCACCGCGGCCGGCCGACGACCTCTGACCCTCTGAGCGGGCCCGTACCAGTTGATGGAGCTGGCGCCGCGATGGCGCGGGAGCAGCGACGGGTGGTAGCAGATGCTCTGGTGGCGCGGCGCGTTGATCACCTCCATCGGGATGAACTGGCTGCAGAAGGGCAGCACGTTCAGCTCGGCGTTCACCGAGTTGTACTTCTCCAGCACCTCGGGTAGCGCCACGCCCTTCTTCCGCCACGACTTGAACTTGAACACAGGGACGCCGTCGGCGGCGGCCGTGGTCGCTGCCGGACGGAGGGCGGGTCAGAGTCGCCTCCCGCTCCCACGACCTCGCACGCACGTCACGCGGAGGGGTGCCACGTTTGTCAACACTGGAGAAAGCTGGGGCCAGCAGAGACTGGCTCCGGCACAAACCGCATGCTAAGTCGGTGGACTTTCCTTCAGCCTTACATACGTACGAATCTAGCAGTCAGGATTTCTATACCAGGGTACCAGCGGCGGGTACTAAACTAGTACCGAAGATACCAGTGCGGCGCCTAAGCTAGCAATGTCAGGACTGTACCGGGACCACAGGCTGTCCGCCTGTGCTCGATGCACTGAAAGCTGGCAACAGTGACCACAACAGCCAAACGCTGCTGACCCCAGGCAGGAAGTCGATGACTCTAAAGTTTTTTTCTTTATTGCCGAAAATCTTGGACTTACATTGCTCCCCAGATGTATCATGCATTCGTTGGTTAAAAAGTGTCCAAAATGTTTTGGCGACAAAAATGTACTACAAATTATGTTTCATTTGAAGCACTAATATTTGATAGGTTTAACTATGGACCGAATCCATGTAACTTCATGCGTAGATTTTATCCCATATAATTCCATTTACGGCGAATGTGTACACTCATACACGTGGGCGAGACAAGTAGGTAGGGAGCACTCTTGTTATTTTACCCTTAGGTATGACGCAGCCTCGAAACAAACACCAATGCAAAGCTCGATACCTCAGGAATCCAACAATTTCCGGTTTTGGCCCGTTCAGGTCAAACAGCAACGTTGCAGTCGGAGTAAACACCAGTCGTTCAAAATGATAGTAAGGAGCGCCAGCTATCGACTACATTGGTAGGTGTGGAGGAGGGGGAGGGTGTCGGCAGCCCGGATATTTAATGCCTTTTCACAGCCCATACTTTATTGCAATTCGTATAATCGTAATGCCAAATTAGCCAATTCTTGGAACCCCGCATTCTTGTAGCGGGGCCGAAGCCAGGCGTCCATCAATTTGCCAAGGTTTAAGTCACGTTCCACAAACGGCATGCCAGGAACGCCATTGCGTCATTGCCAAATTCATTTCATATTGTCCAATTCAGTCTGCCACTCAAGTGCGAAACGATGACTGAGAACACCCTACTCAAAGTTTTCATTGCACGACACATTAATTGGAAAAAGGAATGGTCAAAATGCGACCTTGTGAAAACTGAGCACTATGCAGTCAAACATGATAGGGCGCCGTGTTACTAGAGTTCAGATCAGTGGCTGCGGAGAGGTTACCCCCCCCCCCCTACCCCTTCCCAAGACGTAAGTCTCTACAGCATCTTCATTTCTTCGTTAACACAGCGAATGGAAAGGTTAGAAACGTCCCGTGACGACGGAGTCCTATGCTATTCTTCGGCAATGAGCACACCAACCACGACACACCGGGGAACGGGAACCTCGACACGCCCACCAGGACCAGCCGAACCCCAGAATACGACAGACAACTATGAGATCATGGAGCCGTCTGCGGGGAGTAATACGAGACACGTTGCATCAGGCCCTCAGCTCCGGGCCACGGGGGCCGTTGCCATGGGCACATGACGGCGCTGCCTGGCCGGTAGCCCGGAGGACCGATCGGCTCCAGCCCAACACCGCAAAGCTCATGACCAGGCGCCCGCCGGCCCAGCGGCGTCCGCAGGACTCCGCTCGACCCACGGGGGAGCTGAAATCGCCGCCGACAGGCCAGCGCCGTATCTGTACCGCTCCTGCACGGCAATGCTTCAATGTTCCACCCCGTGGTAACATCGAGACATCGCAAGGAAATAACATGCGACTTTTAGATTGAATCGCGTTCCTTGACCGGACGGAGCGTAACGACGCAAAAGTCTTGCTGGCGGGTCTCGATGCGGCGCAGCTGCCGATCTGTTTATAACGCGCGCCACGCCCACCACTAGCCGCTGACACGTCGGATGTGATAGGCCACGCCGCCAGCGCGCCCGCACACCAGGGGACGGCGATAAACAAATAACTGCGTCATGGCTATTCATTGAGGACCAGTTTGGTGGGGAACTATCGGGATTACGGACGTTTTGCACGGCCCCTGTATGCCCCGTGCATGATTGCTCCGTCGGCTTTTTCAAGTCAGTGCAATCAGTGCATCGATCAATCAGTCAAAATGACGTGCATCTCGCCCTCATATCTGTTCGTTTGTCGTTTCGCGAGGTTTCGGTCAGATCTGACGATCAGCATCGGGTTGACGACAAAGCGCCGACATGTGAACGCAGTCTTTTCCGCGCCGCGGCGCTTAAACCCACGTGCCACCAACATCTCGACTGGATTATCCGATCGGAGCGAGACGGCAGCTCCGCGAAGCGCCTCCGGTTGGTAACCCCGCACCCGGTTGGCGCAGGTGCCATGACACTTCAAGGCCAGTCGCTAGATCGCAGTAACCAGTAAAAACCGGACTCGACCGGATCGGGCCGGTCTGGTCTGGACCGCCCCACCGACAGCCATGGTCACCGAGATCCAAAGCGCCCGTGCCACAGTATAAGATGCAAAGTCAATGCGTTTGTAAAATGCATCGAACGACAGCGTACAGGAGGACATCTTGGATTAATGCATTGCATAGACAAGTTAGGGCGGGGCACGAATCTCGTTAAAATGCATCTACAAAACTTTCCACACCACGCAAACGACGAAGTCCTATTCGATTACCGCAACTTACGGGAATTTCTGCTAGCGGAATGTGATTTATAGTGAGACTGCCTAGCCAACAGCGTGTCTGATAACGAGAAAAATCGAACTACACGCTACGGCTAAAGCGAGCACATCATTGTCCGTCAGTCACATGTTATAGCGCCATCGGGAAGGCGCGCTTACACTTCGAGCGCACATTAAGATTGCGTTGTACAAACCAAAACATCGCATGCGCCAAACATCTGACAGCTACATGATATAACACCATCAGCGTAGTTCGAGATAATTACTGCAAGCCGTTCATGACTGACAATCAGAACAGCTCGCAACTCCTCGCCCTGGGACGGGACCGGGCTGCCCATGTGGCCTCCCTGTGGGGGGGGGGGGGGGGGGGAGGGGGCGCAGCGTCCTGGGTGTCCGTGCTGCGTTCACGGGCCGAACCAAGACAGGTCGACCACTGCTTACGGCAGGAAGAACTCCGACTCCTTCCCGACTTAGGACAGAAGGATCGGCGTGCTGTCTTGCTGGTGAAAATCGTACTGACAGGACACTCGACTTTCCTAAATGCCTTCATAACAAACACGCGAGTGCACGGTCAAAGACCCCAATGTATACGCTACACTGTTGGACCGCGGTCAGCACTCAGAATTACGCACAAATTTCACCGATGTCAGGGACAGAAAACGGAAACCAGCCATGGAAACCAAGTCCATACCGTCCTCCTCCTCGCTGGAGCTGTATGAGGACACCCGTCTGCACCCCGTGCAGGCGGGCGGCCACCGGGCCCTCTCGGACTCACCGACCGGGTCCTCCCGGGAGCCCTGGTCGGGCACGGTGAACACGCCCACCACCGTGTGGCCATCCTTCCGCAGCAGCTTGTACACCTCGCCGGCGAACGTGCTCTGGCCGATAATGGCCACACGAAGCTTCTCACAGCTCTGTGGAAACCAGTGAACAATGTCATCTTCAGGTTTACGCATGCTCGAAGTCGTAACATATAAGGTGTCTGCGTTAACCGCTGAACGTCTGAGAAGCCGGAGGTTCGGGGTTCGATTCCCCGCGGTGCCGCCCTTACCACCAGGGTGAGAGGCAGGCGACGCCATATAGCCTCAGCAGCTGAGTGCATTGTAAAGCCCCAATGACACAAGTTCCAACACATGTGATAACGTCCTCTGACAATGATTCAGGATGCTGCTTGGGAAACTGAGGGCTCAAGAAATCCATGTTTCAGTGTTCATAACAAAACAATGTGCAGCATTGCTCACAAAGTACAACTTATTACTTGATGGCAAGGGTGACTGTCCTTTGTGCTACAGTTCCTTTTAGACTGGGTCAGGTGGGTGGCAGAGTGAGAGGTGGGCCAGCCCAGCATACTGGATATGATACTTTTCTTTAGGAATTAAAGGTGGGCAGCACATAAATACCCACACCCACAGTTGGCTGGGCCTGACACTTTGTGTCTTTTGCCAGTTGGTTTCTGAAGAGTCAACTACAAGATTGGACTTACACAGGATCAGCCCTACCCTGAGCAGAAGCCTAGGTAAGAACAACCCATGGCTTGTTATAAAATATGCATTGCATGATGATGTATGGACCATGAGAGCATAGGGATTATACAAAAACTTATAGTGTGAATAATAATCAAACTATTATGGAGAAGTGTAACATGCAACAAATGTATCTGCTTTAGCCAAAAGCTTCACAGCAAATACCAGGTAAGTGGTGTACAGAAATATCCTATGTGAAACAGCCAATAGCATAGTTAATAGCTGTCATTTATTGTAACAGACAGCCAAAGGAAAAGGCACATTTATTACTAGTTACTACATTGGCTTAGTTTCATTCTAGGCCATTTGTAAAACATGGAAGTGCAGGCTAGTCAATTTACCTTTCAGATACCCTGAAAACATTTTCTACACATAAATTATTTACCTTTCAGATACCCTGAACACATTTTCTACACAGAAACTAAGCCACCTGATGTTTTCTTCAGATAATGTTATGGTCAGAGTTGTCATAACATACAGCCAGTGACATGGCCAGTGACATGAATGCCTAAGTGATCATAGGATAAACCATCCTGCCCAACAACCAAATTGCACCAGGGATTAAGGACAGGTCATGCAATGCCATTACATGAATATCAGGCAGAAAACCTTTAATTCACTTATCAGGAAAGTTTGATGTCTACTCCAATCACTTGAAACAGTTTAACTATTGATCATATATATTTATGTAAGAAGAAAGGGCATCATGACTGAAACTGAACTCACCTTGAGTTAGACACGCAACATGAAATTATAAAATTTAACACTGATCACATATATAGCATAAAAGCTGATGGCAGCCTCATTTTCAGGCCAATGCCCTGCATGCATGACTGTAGAGCTTAAGAAAATGTTGTCAAAATTTCTGCATAAAGCAGGGGCAGTACCACCCGCTACATTCTTACATAAGCAGAGGATACAATGTTGACATGGGACCTTATGTCACATGTTGACTGAGACAGAACCCAAATTGTTTTACAAATGTATGATGCCCTGCATCATGCTTACCCTTGATGTCGAGAAGGTCCTTGCACCTTTGGGAATAACCCCGTAAAGGCCTAACAGTCGCATCATCTTGTGGGTTCAGAGTAGTACCCGCAGAACTACAACCTGCCACCTTCGCCGGGCGCCTCGATAGACACCACACGCTTCCAGGCCAATACTTAATCCAAGTGAGTGCAAGACCACCACCGCTTCACAGACACGAGCGACAACAACACCCCTGTTTAAAACTAAGCGCTTATTCCAGGCAGATCACCTGTAATTTACGAATGATAACCCCACTCGCGGACCACACCATGGACCAGCGGGACCGGCCGCCCTCCTCTCAGCAGACGTCACTGCACTATAAATAACTTGCGCGCCATGGAACGCCGCCTCCGCGCCGTCCTCCGAAGCTCACTTTATAGTACTTGCCACAACCGTCAAAACATCAGCCGGGGAGAGACGACGAACCGAATGTCAAAGTACCACTTACTACTCGGTCTTTCTCTCATAACTTGTCGGTTTAATGCTGTCACATGTCTCCTTTAAATTGTCCCTGTTATTTAACGATGTAAAGAGCAAAATTATGCTATTAATACCTAAATAATTGTCATGTTTTTGGCAGTGTCTAGCAAAAACATGATAATGTTTTTGCTCTTTGACCTGGTGGTGCGAATGTGGCGAGTCGACATAGCAAAAGTAAGATTTATCCGCCCAATAAGCAAACAAATTAAAACAATCGGTGTCAAAGGTTTTCAAACACAAGTCATAGCACACAAGCCCAAGCAACACCAGCATTGATGTTCTAGACGGTGTTCCTTTTCATGCAACCTCGCCGACTGCAAAGTTAAATTTCGCATGCTCTGAACTTGTCCCATTCTCCTCCCATGTTTATGGTTTACGCACCCACGGCGGCAGGGCCCAGACTGAGCCGACGCAACAGTTGTCTAATTTGTTCTTCCATGAATGAGTGACACGTTCTGACTTAAAACAGCGCATTTCCAAGCCTGAAAAATCCTAAACAAAGGGAGCAATCCGTCTTAAACAATTACGTTCGTTTTCTTTGCACGTGGCATTATGGACACATTTGCAATTGCGAGCGTCACCGTCAAGAGTCTGGCACACCTTTTTTGGATCCCTGTTAAGCCAAAGCTTATATAGTGAACAAATATTGTAACATAGAGCCATCCACTGGCACAAAGGTAGCTGATAAGCGACAAGGAAAAACACGGATTCCCTAGTTCTTCGACCTTAACGGCTTTCGTTTCAAACTATCCAGTGATGAGCCTGTAAATAGTTCACCATGATAGAACATTAGGCCATCAGCACAATGCACCACACGGCCAAATCAGCCGACCACACTGCCAGACAGGAGTATGCAGGCCTAATGCCAGTATTTTCTACAGGGTGATCAGGAAAATTCACTTTTCAACAGTGCAGCGCATTTAACCGAATTCTGCAAAATCGCTCAAAATCTAATGTATACCTCTTAGCTCTGGGTTGGGGACATGACCTCATCGCTTCGTGCCCGGCAGTAAGAAATGACTGGCAAAATGACTCCCGCGTCAAACTTGAAGGGCATTGAAGACGTGTTTCCCTGAGCAGTAATGCTGTGACCTACCATGGTTTTGATGGTCAACCCCGAGAGCGTCGCTTATCAGACAGAAAGACACAAAGTGTTTATGCGTTTCAGTTTCGCAGATCGTTTCCGTAAAAAATTAAATGGGGGCGGCAGCCCGAACAGCCCGGCACGGAAATGCTGTTAGAAAAGCCGCAGTAAGGGATTATGAACGATATTCCAACAGCCTTTATCAGAGAGCAACTATCAAATCGCAATTTTGGACCAAAAATGGTTTGCTAGATTTGGGCAAGCAGACTGCGTAGATCTACAACTTCGCCCATCACGAAACACCACTGCATTGGCCGTTTTCAAGTTCCTTTGAATGTACTCATCGACATTAGTGGTCTCACACATTGCATCATTGATTCGAGGTGTCGGGCGGAACAGAACTTGAAGCCGAAACCGGTCATCACGTAAACATAGATCGGGGCGATGCCATGACGTCCCAGCGAAGCCCTGCATCTAGGAATCTGACGGGACGTGATTACCGGGCGGGCGGCGATGCCGCAGACGGCGGCAATGGCGCAGCGCGCGCTGGCCGCCGTCCACGGCCCGCTCCGAGCCCAAAATAAACAGCGCCCTGCAGCCGTGCAGAGGCTCGACTTGGACGCGGGGCTCGCGCCGCGCCAGCCACGGCCGCCAGCGCCGTCCGCCGCCCTCGTCGCCACTCACCGTCATCTCTGGCAATCAGCAGGGGTGTGGTACGGCCGTCCGTGCTCAAGTGCTCGGCTGCAGTGACAGGAGCCCACGATCGGACGCCTCCAGTTACACCGACGGGCTCACTCAGCTGCTCCGGGCCGGCAGACGCGCGACAGGCCCTCCGCGCGGCACGCCGAGGAAGGGGGAGGGGACGACCAGGCCCTCCTCGCGCCCGGCCCGCCGCGCCGCTGCTGTAAACAGCGCCGACCTTGAGCCGCCGGCGTCATGGCCCCAGCGACCGCAGCGGGAGGTATTCGCGAGTACGCGCGGCACCCTCGGGGACCGGCCGGCGCGCTCGCCGTAGTCAAGGGGCGGCAACAAGGGGGGCCGGCTAAACCCCCTCGAACATTAACCGAATCGCTTCGCGTGTTGACAGAAATAACCAAAATGTCTATAAACGGCTAAACGATCCACCAGTTTCGGAGGGCTCCCACTCCACTGCTGAGAGTCTAGCATACATATTCATGAGCTATTTTTTATCGCTTCAGATATGGACACCGTTTTGGTGCAAATACAATTCTTTTTGTTCATAGATTTCGATAAATTTTGTGAGCAGTGACGACAGAGCCATCAATTCAACAGATTTTGACACTTACTAACTTAAAATGTTATCTTGTTTTTCCTGAGCTGACAGAAAAGCAACGTTCCGAACAGTGGGTGTCGGCCCAAACAAGTACGCAAACAACACCGGGCATATCGGCGACTTTGCGCCATGTCTGGCTGCAATGTCATAGGCCAAACACCGCATAATGGGAGTACCACTCACATATGCACTACACCGTCCGCTCCCTTTGGGTTTCCGCTGAAGCTAAAACTTTGCAGAATTATCACGCCGTAAAAAGCTCCCGACAACAGAAGGCCACTGAATGGAAAGGAGGGAGCATCCCATGTCTTGTGCTTACTTTACCCGAGGCATTGTTACTAGACGCGATGTTTTTCGCCCCACCTCCCCAAACCAACATTGTTCGTTTTGGACGTTGAGCCACGTCTCCAATGTTGTTTTGATCTAGGATAACATCAGATACTTGAACCCGTCTCACCAGCTGCAATCAGTGGCGCTGGGGAGAGTGGTGCACAGGAGGCACGTGCCCCTTCCCCGCCTAGGTCCTTGAACCGATGATC